AACAAAAACAGCCTGTTCAATTTTAATGGTAAGATGAGCTGAAATATTAATCAGCTGTAGTCATTTGTCAACCTACCTGATATTTCATGGTATAATCTATACATTTTCATCATATCACTATAATCTGTAGCTTCAATACATCCAAAATATCCATCTGGAACTCATTGTTTTTGCGATATCAACAACTTTACATACATCCACCTATACAGAATACAGTTTAACTCCATCCACTCACATAATAGTTATAAGGAGTGTTTCAGCCTGATCTGCTTTCTGAATGAGGCACAACACAGACCTCACTTATCCGTCTTAAAGGTACAGTAACAACAACAGCCTGTTCAATTCTAAGGGGAAAAGAAAGTATATATAAAACCTCATAAATTATACAAAATACTTAAGAATGGTAAGATATGGCCCTTTTCATGTTTTTGTTGTAAGACACATACAACATAGCTCGGCATTTTCGATAAGCACTTTTCTGGGAAACATGTTTTGACATCCAGAGACACCTGTTCATTTTAAAGTGTAGTGATGCAGCACTACTACTATGGGGGTAAAGTGGCCTTGTGTCATTATGTATAGAAGGATATCTAGGTCTCTAATATATCGCTGCTGTCGGATGAAAACCGTTTATCTCCATTTTTGTCGTTTTTCAGTTTTTGACATAGATTGAAAATGTCTGTTACCCTTTACATTGTATGTAAATTTCATGATGAATGGACCAAAAGAAACGGCCCAAATGACTTGGAAAAATGTCTGGTTCCAAGTATGTTTTATCCATCTCCTGTAAAGTTATCATTTTGGAGATACAAGGTTTTGTTCCGACAACAGCGATAGGTATGATGTAAACACTCGCTATGAATAAGGCTCTAAAATGAGGGCTGCATATTTGTGAACTGAAACAATGCTGAAAAGCATGATGGGGGCCGTCGTTGGCACCACATATAGGCCATAAGATGGAATTATGACATTTCCCTGGAGGTGGTGGTGTAAAACATGTCTGCTTAGTGGACTGTAGCCCCGTCATGTGAACTGATGCTAATCCATTGTGTAAGTGCCACCGATTGGGGATCACGCTGCGTAAACAACAAACAGTGCTGGTTGCTTTTTTTTTTCAGGTTGTGCAGCTGTAGCTGTTTAATGTACATGTTTCCATTTAGCCCTGGCTGAACCGCAGAGCATTGCCCTACGAAAGGAAAGACAAGGAATGAGGAAATTGAGAAAAACAGGGGGCTTCATGTTGGTCTTAATTGTCTATGGAAAGACTGTCATATTTTCCACCGGGTAAGCTTGAAACCATTACCGAAGCTAGCCTTCATTAAATTTTCCACAACATTTTGCAGAAACGTCAGGAAGCAGCTGTGGAGGCACTGATTAATTGTCTTTCTCCCTGGATCCTTGACTTACAACTCCACACTTCATTGAGATTATATTCTTCTGTTTTCTTCCCCCTTCTTCTCACCAATCACTTCACAAGGTATTTCGCTATATAGAAATGTTAAAACCAGTGGCCAGTTGTAAACTTTTAAAACCCTGCAGCCTGAGGGGCCAAAGACTGCCTCCAAAAGATGTCTCAGCTGCGCCTGCATGCTTCCAAAAGGCTTTTTAACACAGTTTTTAGCCTGTGGGCTAACACATGTCGGTCCAACCGTAAGCCTCCACCTCCACCACCACCACCTCCTGTCCAGAATTCCATTAACCCCAAAGAAAAAAGAAAAACTAAAAAAACACTCAATGGGCAAAACTAGGCAAAACTGATACAGTGCAGTTTGGCCAGTATAAGTGAAATTAGATTTTGCTGCAAAACAAAGGATGGAGGCCACGCGAGAGCCGTGATGCCGGCTGGAAAAGCCGAAACATCTGCCACCGGGGCAGTCCGGCCTCCGGGAGCAGACCAAATAAATGGCTCTAGTCACTGTCCAAGGTTAAGAGCTCCAGATCTGGTGAGCAAACAGATGCGAGCAGGGCCGTCTGGCAGCCGCCACTGCTCAACAGAGCACCAGGCTAAAGAAGAGCTCATCACTACTCTCAGGCTTTGAAGCTGTGGCACTCGCAATGTCAGCACACACTTCATAGCAGCGCAGGACACGTCAGAGGCATGGTGTGGGTTCATATGGAGGCTCAGTCTTTAAAGCAGACATCTGTGTAAGTACGAAAGATCTTTTCAACCCCTTTAAATCCCCAGGCTTATAGGCCTCTAGAGTCATATATCAATCTGTAGTTGGTGTCTTGCCTATTTTACAAAACTATTTTTGCAAACTGCCTCACTGTGATAAGCAAAAATGTTCAAAAGTTGATAAGTTTTGTCCTAACCCACCTGCCCCTCCCACCCCCAACAGTCATGCTCTGCATTATGAAGTTGCTTAACAGTTAAAAATGTCGCTGCGTCATAGGAAAACCACGTATCTCCATTTTTGACGTTTTTCAGTTTTAGACATAATTTGAAAGTGCCTGTTGTTCTTTACATTGTGTGTACATTTCATCCAGAATGGACTAAAAGAAACAGCCCAAAATGACTTGGAAAAAAGTCTGGTTCCATTGACTTACATTCAAAGTAAAGCAGGTTTTTTCCTTCTCCTGTAAAGTTACCATTTTGGAAATATGAGGTTTTGTTCCAACAACAGCGATGTGAACTGCTACTATTAAACTTCAACACTGTTACATATCAACACCAGCTACTCAAAGCATGTAGGCTAAAGCCAAAGAAGCTTATCTACCACTTTTGACAAAGCGTACTGCTTTGTGTGGGGTTAGCAGTCTATTGATGTCAATTACATGTAGCCTCAGTCATATTTCAGCTCCTCAATGACCTCGTTATTCAGCGACAAAACCAACAAATACAAAACGGGCTATTTTTGCAGCTTAGTTTCCACATATGGAGTGTATGGACTGGGGAGTGAATGGCATGTTTTAAAACTTAAATAATGTTTACTTTTTGCCTCAAAAAAGTGAGGAAAATTAGTTTTGTCCATGATACGGGCCCTGTAAGCCTCAGGAATATGGTAATCCCTTTGGAAAGGATGGTGATTTGACTCAATAACAGTACAGTATGTATGAGAATATTCACTCTTCTAACAGAAGGTTTTAAAAGAACACAAACTGTGCGTTTAAGCAACTCTGACAATACTGGCCTTGAAAGGTTCCTAGCAAGCTAATCAGGAGTTTTATCAGTAGCAGTAAATCAGATATCATCAGCGATGCCCTTTTATCTTGCGTCTGCATCTGCGAGGCGTGCAGCCTCAGCTCCCGGCCTCACCAGATGTGCGGCTGATGGAACATGTGTCTCCCTCTCCCGCTCCTCTGTGTGGGTTTTTTTGTATACACACTGGCTCCCTGATGAGCTGCCAGGCTCTGCGTCCGTGGCCATGTTTGCTCCCGTGTGGAGGAGGTTTTCCACGACTACTAACAAGTCAACTAGTTAAATTGTTAATCTTTTACTCACGAGTTCCTTCTAGCCATTTACAACAATTTCCATTTGTTTCAATGTCAATAAGAGACAATAGTTTAATAGTCACTTACTAACCTACATGACAAATCAATTAACCCTTGTGTGGTGTTCAGGTCTGTGGGACCCGTTTTCAATGTTTAACAAAAGAAAAAATGATGTGATTTATTATTATTTCAGCCTCAGATTCTTGGCCTTTGCTCATTTTCTGTGAAGAACATATAAAATAACCCATTTTCAGTGTCTTCACTCTGTTCACCCCCCACACATTTATATTACACATGTGGTGTTGGGCTGAACCAGCGGGGAGTAAAAGTGTGGAGGTGCTGTGTCCTTCATTCTGTTCTCCTCCTACATGGCCTGCTGTTAGTGTGTATGTGTGTGTGAGGGTGGACAACATGGACAGGCTGCTGACTGGCTACAGCTGCTAAAGGAGAACCCTACGCTGGACACTTGATATTTTAAACATCTGGTGTTTTTACATAAATTGTTATGGCTGTATTGATTTAAATAAACAATAATGTGGTGGGTCCAGCAGACCACTGAGTAACAAACACACCAACACCACTCAAGGGTTAAAGGTATTCGAATTCAATGTTTAACATGTTACAGAGGTTGGCAAATGCAGTGTTAGGAGTCTTGCTAAAGGAACTCAACTGGTATACTGTTGTGTACTACAGTGTTGTACACTCACTACGCTGCACCTGTCTGTTTCAGTGAGCTTGCACTTTTGTTTTCACCAACAATAGCTCTGACTTCTAAGAGTTAAAGTAAAAAATATTGATAATTTGTTGAGTGATCTGTACATCAATTAAACATGTTTTATTATGAACTTAAAAAGCAGTGAATCCTTTATTTTGGTAACCCACAGGTATTTTTGTCACTTTTCAGCGTAGTCTTAACTAACTGGAACTGGAACTCTCTTACAAAGCATTTCTAAACTAACCAAGAATATTTGGCTTCATGTTTAGCACAAAACTGCTTTCAAGGCTGTTCCTGCTTCTTTGATATTTCACTACTAAAATCAGCCAGTGTTCCTGAGTAGCCAACAGCTGCCCACAGTGGATATAAAGGGTTTCACTGGAAAAAGCATTATAGACCACTTTCGAAATGTTCTTTGTTTTCATGAGATACATTTTTATGGGAGAAAGCTTTACACATATAATAAAAATGGGTTCTATAATGTGATTAATACTACCTTTATTAGAGATGTCAAAAGTATTTTTTATATATTATATAGCATTTTGGAATGAAATCCTTCATATATGGGTCGAGTGCTGAATAGTGGACATCATCGCGGTTGGAACAAAACCTTGTATCTCCAATTTTTATATTTTTTAACATTTTTATATAATTTGAAAACACCAACTACATTACGTTGTGTGAGAATGTGAGAAATGACCAGAATTACTTGGCAAAAAATCATTTTACATTGACTTTTATTTTAATTATTATTTTTTCTTTTACCTTTGATGGAAATTTACTGTTTTGGAGATACAAAGTTTTGTCCAGAAAGTGACGGCATACTGGTCAACTAGTCATTGTGTGGACTCACCCAAAAGTGCTGCAATGGGGTCCTGGTCTGGACGCTTGGCTCTGCGCCTCCTTTGGGCAGTTGGGTCAGGCGGAGGGACAGCGGCCAGGAAGGCGTTCAGAAGGATCCCTTGGCCAGGGTGCTGAGACTACGCAGACCACTAAGGAGAGCGAGAGAAAGAGAGAGAGAGGGAGATGGAGAGAGGGGAAACGACAGAATGTTTAATGATTCTGGTCTGGGTGCATGGAGCTTAGTGTCTTGCTAGGGCTCTTCACACTGGCTAAATGAACTAGAACTGAGCATCTGCTGAAACAATAAGCTCGCTCCCTCGGAGGAGTAACCGTGCACTATTAATCTGAACCTTCCGCTGCGTTTAGGCATAACCCGTAACCGCAACGAAGAGCATTTCTGAAAATATGAGACGACCGCGATGACAGATGACCTGCTCGGATTCAAATGGGCAAAGGGCCTTTTTCCAAAAAGTTATTAAGTGTCCGTCTAATAGAAATAAATGTGACCCCTCTGTAAATACTGGGCAATCATCTACAGTATTCTGAGACGAATTCTTCGCTATTAGAGTAAAAGTATACTTGGACACTCGCTATCTCCCCTCCTCATCATTTCCCTTCATTCTCTGCTCCAAATTCATCCTATCCCTCACCCTCTCCCCTGAAGCTGACAGTACCTGACAAATTACACAAACCCCACCGCCCACAATAGAGCACAGGGTCTAATTAGGTTGGCTGTTAATCTAACAGAATGAGATTTCCCTTCTCATTTGCAGAACGGTGGGTGAAAAACTACGTCCCAAACTGCAGGCCCTGTCGGCAAATCACAGATATTAAATTAAATTTTTAAAAAAAAAGGGAAAAAGTAGCCACAAGCCTGGGGGGGGCCGCTGAAACAGGGCTGAGCCCAAACAATGACCACAAAGCTCCTGTGTCCCTGCCTGGGTAGCAATAAGGCCCCGTCCAACAGGCCAGGAGGTGGAATAAGAGCCTCACTGTGGTTTGGGTGCATGAGGGACCTCTTCCTGATTAGATACCAAAAGGGAACAAAAAGCGATGGACAAAACTACCAGTGGCTGTCATTTTCTGCATTTTACGTAGCCAGCCACGTCGCAAGCTCCGTTACGAACACGGCAGAACAAAACAGAACTTATAGATTCAGCTAGGAACAAAGGCAGCACTGACTACACAGGTGAGGCTTTTAGTGAAAAGATGAAGGAAATTGTGAGAACGGCCCCCTAAAGAAACCACTTCTGCGTAAATCAACCCACAGACAACAGGACATACAAGGATTCACCATTATGCTTTTTCTCTCAGGCCAGATCCACAATGCTAGTGTGAATGGATGGAAAGAGGCAAGAGAGGTGAGTCATTGAGGTGGGCTCTGACTCCCCGCTCTCATAAAGAGCTCCAGAGGCCTGCTTTGCATAAGCCCGTCCGAGGCAGAGCGCATGTATATACCTCCTCTTCCTTCCCCTCTCGCTGCTCTGGGGTAGACTCAGCTAGGCACTCTTCCGTGCTCTCGCTGCCTTCCGTGAGGCCCGAGGCTGGAGATATTACAAACACCATTATGCTCCTGCGCTTCCGCGCCAGGGCCAGCTCAGCTAACCCAGAAAAACAAGGCATTTCTGTGAGGTTGCATCACAATCTGTGGTGGCGCTCACCCAGTGTAAACACAGGAAACGGGGTTTATCAAGACAGAACAATCTCTCGCCTCGGCTCACATGTAACACAGAAGAATACGGAGATTTGGAGAAGGCTTCATCACAGCCGAACACATCTGTCAGTGAAGACGGTCAACTGCCGAATTAGAAGAATTGAAAGGACTTAAATTGCGAGCACTGAGTGAAATGTCGTAATAAAGCTTTATTATTTGCTAAAGATCTGATCATCAGGTCTCTTAATCACTAAGACAATGACAAATCTGAGCAGGGCTCAACGTCACAACGTCACATGCTCTACTTGGAACATAATTCTGCACTTATTGGGAATAAAATTAAACAAAAGTGTGTCATGTACAATGGTTATGGTACATTTTATATGGCATGTTTTTTCTGATTTGTTAAATTCAGCAAATAAATATAAACTGTGCTTTATAATTTGCAGAAAATTGCCATATTCAAGCTACCATAGAGGCTTTGTTAACTTATTTTCTCTTAAAAAATCAACAAAACATGTAATTTGACCTGGGGTCAAATGTCCTTGGCTGAGACTTTAGCATTAGTTCTGCCTACTTATAGCAGCCTTAAGAAATACAAGGATGAAGATGAGGTCATGCCTGTTGAATAAAAACTGGGGGACCTGGCAAAAACTTACTATCACAATACTTTTTTTACATGTTTTCTATCACATTGTTTATTTTTTCTGATGTCTGATAAGAACTATAAATCCAATTATTTGTATAATATTTGTATATTGAACAATTAATAGCTGGGAAAGTGTTTCGTAAGTACTGATGATAACCAGAACATGCTTAGAAAAGCATGTTGTGACGTAATTTATCACAACAGCAATAAATATTGTCATATTTCCCAGCCCTCAATAAGAGGAGGCCATGCGTTACCACTGTTACAAGGTATTCAATTAATATTTTAATTGATTATAAATAATAATCGCAATGAACTATTCTTCTGCCAAGCTATACACTTTCTTAACCGTAGGCTATGGTTGCCAGGCAACCTATTCAAAGATTAGAACATGAAGATCCCATTCAGTTTCAACAACTTGGCACATTAACACAAAATTCCTATCAGTTATGCAGTAATACCAGTATTTAGGCTTAGAAATGATTTCAGATTTTAGAACTGGAACTGTGTGTTTTACGAACTGGACCGCTGACACTGAGTCATGGCAGACCTTCCTCTCTCAGAAGCCCATTTATTCCCAATGTGAGCTCTTTAACTGCAGGAGTTCCTCAGCGAGACGGGTTTGAAGTAAGTGACTCAGATGACTGACGTTTGGCGGGCGAGCTCTGCTCAGCATCAGGAGGTTCATCCGCCGCTATTCTTACCACGCCGGATTCCTGAAGGAAAGGATGCTGCTCCATCCTTTGGCACAACTCGCTCAGTGGGTCCTAAAGGCAGGCACAGTGCCTGGACCATTTGCCGAGCGTTGAGGAGATATGGACGGTATAAATAACTGCGCGTAATTACACGCGCCCGCTCTTCGCGCTTTCGGAATACTTGAGGACATGTGGCGCGTTGTGTTAAAAGCTCTCCTGCACAGCGCACAGCAGGATGGGTCTGGAAAATTGAAATGTTAAGAGATGACGGATGAATGCAGTAGTCTCTTTTTTCTCACTCCATCCCCCCCGTTTCGAAGATCTGTCTTATTTCTGGGAAAAAAAAAAAAAAAATTCTCGGCAACGTATATAACTCCCACGCTCTCGGTCCAAAATGAATGCAGTGCGCCGAGTGCATCTGTCGAGTCCTCCCCATCTTTAATTGCACATCCTAACACTCTTTTCTGCTTCTTTGTCTCCGGCTGAATAGGATTACAGGACTGACATTGAAAATACTACATACACGATATTACGAAGCTTTTTTTGCCAACCTAATCCCTTCCTTTTCTTCGAAAGAAAGAAAAAGCAAATTCCTTTTCAGAGCAAATCCATGCAGCCTTGAAAAACTGTAAGGAAGCCGCAGCTAATCGGATGGATGCACTACAAAAACAAACCAGTACATCTTATGCAATCTTGAAATTGTTAAAGATGCATCTGTTTACTTGTTAAGGCTTGTCAGAGTGTAAGCAACCACAACTGCTTATGGTTTGATGGCATATACACACAAATTTGAAAAAGCAAGGCCAAGTCTAAGATCTCATAATAAGAGTTAGGACACTGTATTCAGCTTTTAAAAGAATCACTGCAATTCATTGATTTTGTTTGGTTATAAATGGACTCAATCTGCATATACACACTATAGACTCAGGCCAATGTCTGAGTATATATTGTAGACACCAGCTCATCCAACGTTTCCTCTGAAATCGAGGGTGTTAATCAGGAATTTGTCCCCCTTTGCTGCAGTAACAGCCACTACTCTTCTGGGAAGGATTTACACTAGATGTTGAAACATTGTTGTGAGGATATAATTGCATTCAGCCACAAGACCATAAGTGAGGTCAGTTACTGAGCTTGCCCAACTCATCCCAAAGGTATTTGGATGGAGCACCATCACTCCAAAAAACATAGTTCCACTGCTCCACAGCCCAGTACTGGGGGACTTTATACCCCTCTAACCAAGGCTTGGCTTTGAGAATGAAGATTATACAAGCCGTGTGTTCGCCTCAGCAATGGGTGCTCCTTAATGTAGCTCAAATTCTCTAGACTGGGTGTCTGTACACTTTTGTACAAACAGGATTCCGCTGCTGTCGGAAGAAAACCACGTATCTCTGTTTTCGTCGATTTCCAGTTTTTTGACATAATTTGAAAACACCTGTTGCTCTTTACATTGTTTGTAAATTTCGTGAAGAATGGATTAAAAGAAACGGCCATAATGACTTGGGAAAAAATGTCTGGTTCCATTGACTTACATTAAAAGTAAAGTATGTTTTTTCCTTCTCCTGTAAAGTTACCATTTGGGAGATACAAGGTTTTCTTCCGACAACAGTGATATGTTACTTAAACAAAGGAAATAATGTCACTTTGGTGGTCACCTGGCTAATGTTGCTTTGTTAGGTTTACTAGCAAAGTACATTTTTAACAAGCAAAAAATCTAGCTTGGCTGGCTTTAAACTGGTCCCACAGGTCATTGTGGTCAAAATGAATGTATGTAATTGTATTACTACTGATGTTTTTTGGTTGCTTAGTATATGCAGTCACACTTTAATGATTCACATTAGTACTTTTTAACCACTGATAAGGGGTGACAAAGCTATATAGCGCCACTGTTGGAACAAAACCTCCAAAATGGTAACTTAAAGAAAAAACTTGTAACAAAAGTCAATGTACAGTGATATTTTCCAGTTTTTTTTTTTTTTAATTATTTCTATTGGTCCATTCACCATGAAGTTTCAACACAAACGAAAGGGCAAAGGTAGGTTTTAAACTATGTAAAAAATTAAAAACAAAAAAAGGAAAAACAAGGTTTTTGTGCAACGATATGTTGACTAAACTTATCAGGAGCTAATTAGCAATTAAGTAATCAGTAATTAA